ACTGGTCTCCAGGTAGCTATCCATGGGTGACTCCACACTAGAAGTTTCGCAGCTGTTTGGAGGTGACATGAATTCCAAAGGTCTTCTCCAGTCAGGCGCGACTGGAGATGACTTCATATTTTGGTGTACATGAAGGTGATGGGCGAGAGCCAGCTCCTGCTTATAGAGGAACATCTTGGGTATCTTCCGCCCTGGTACTCGTATCCACGTCCTCTGTCTGGGCTGCAAAAACTTTGCTGATATGTGACTCGGTCGAAGTGACTTTTTTTGGCCCCCTCCCTGTATATACGGACAAGCACAATATGAAAGAACAACAACGGCAAAAAAATATCAAAAGAAGTGAATAAGATGGAGTATAGGTTCAAGATTTAGAACATAGCGCGCAGCTTAGTAGTTGCGGTTGCAATGTTGTAGATGATCTACACAAAAACAAGAGTAACAACAATCAAACAAAAACAGAAACCTTATAAACAACTTAACAAACTTGAACTTAACATTAACCACTCAACATTCACTGTACTGCATTGTTCCTACACCACATACAGCGCACTTGAGCACTCAATATAATAGTAAAAACTACTTTGTAGTACTTGGAGTGTGATGCACATAATTCACGGACAGCGCCAAATACTCGAATAAATGTAATCCAGAAATTTGGGGACGTGTGCTGAAATCCCTACATGATAGTCATTGTTTCAAGAAAATCAACTTATGTATGAACCGTTGACGATCGTTTTTGCCCGACAATTGGTGGGCGACAGCCAGTCTGTCTCATGGGACGGTGTCGGACAATGCTGTCCGACAGCATACTGCTCTCATAATAAAGACGTGCGAGCAACCAAATTTGGTCAAAAGATGTCTATAGAGTAGGCTGAAATTCTGAAACGAACAGCTGCAGGTTTGCGTTTAGCAGACTGCCCGCCGCCCGCCAAGGCGTCGGCTCCAAAATACCTTAGGCCACCCAAAGCGCTGAAAACTTGTTTCGTGGGGTAGCTCGAACGCCTGAACACGAATATCACATCCGTTCAGCGCAAAAATGCCTCATCGGCCACAAAAATACTTCAGGCCACCAAATCTTGAATGCCTCCTTATTTGTGTTCAGTGGTTAGCTTGACCCCTGAGCACAAATATCACCATCGCTTGCCACAAAACTGCCTAGCACGCCGAAATGTCCTATAGATCATCAAATTCCCTGCAAACCTGTCCCTACCGGCGAACCGACCCCCTCATCTAAAATATCATGTCCACTTAACGCGTTGATGACGATTTCCGTCAATGGAAGCAGGACGATAGTAATACACTTAAAAAGCCAAGAAACATACAAGAAATATATATTGTATGTAAAAATATTAACAATCGAATATGGAGATCCCTCCTTCCTTACTGATGAGCACGGAGGAGGAATACAGAAATTTGTTCAATTCCCGTCTAAGGGCACGTGCGAAACGGGAATTGAGCTATCTCTTTGACCTTCCCCCACACAAAAATTTATAGAGCATTCAATATAATTCAAACATAATAAAATTCCAAAACTCTACAAACAACTCAAAAAATAAATAGATTTAGAAAGATGATAATAGATAACAATACAAAATTAAAATTTTAAGAAAATAAAAATTACAACAAGTGTAAAAACATATAAAAACATATTAAATAATCACTATTTTTTGCATATACTACCATCACGTAGTAGCTCGAGGGAAACCCGACGCTATGTGATGTTAGTACCTGAAAAGGGCATAGACACACTTTTCCCAAGAATTATTTATAAACATTCTCAAATCATTAAATAGTTCATAGAATAACTATCATTTTGTCTCACTCATACATAGTTCAAATCACATTGACATACTCCAGTATTCGATTTCAACCCATGGTCGTCTTACGTCACATAGACGTAAACATCTCTTCAGTTTCGACCCATGGTCGTCTTACGTCACATAGACGTAAACATCTCTTCAGTTTCGACCCATGGTCGTCTTACGTCACATAGACGTAAACATCTCTTCAGTTTCGACCCATGGTCGTCTTACGTCACATAGACGTAAACATCTCTTCAGTTTCGACCCATGGTCGTTATTACGTCAATTTGACGTAACCTTCTTCAGACTCGACCAATGGTCGTCATACGTCACAATGACGTAACCTTATCAAATAATCTAATTGATTAAAATCATAACACGTTTATTTACAAAACATTTACTTTTCAATTTCACCATTACAAATGCAAAATTCATATTAAGACCTAATATGGACAATTAAGTACTATTCCTCTTCAAATTTGTAGTTAAATTCAATAATTCAACTCTAATTAGCTTTGCTGAGATCTCCAACATCCAACGCAACAGATCTGGTAAAAGGCTCCTCCTCTTCAACACGCTCCTCTATATTTCTTCCCTCTTCAAACTCTTCAGCACAAAATACGAAAGAATCCTAAATAAAATAAAATGAGCATTAAAAATTGAATACAAACATTGAAGCATATAATACATACCTTGGAAACCTTCAAAATCGTTTTTCCCCAGTCCAGGCAAAATCACACTACCTCTCAATTTGCCAGCCTTAACAAAAAGCTTAGTCAATTTGCCAGCCTTAACAAAAAGCGTAGTTAGTACCAAGAAGTCCTTTCTCTCGCTTTCGCTAAGAAGCTCCTCTGGAGGTAAACCCTTCCATTCCGAAAGAACGAGATTTAAGCTGATAGCAACGATGGAAGGTTTGACTATCTATAATAACTAAAAATAAAATAAGATAAAATCACGAAAAGACTAATAATCACCATATTTTTTCCAATGTGTAGTAATCCTCTTTTGACGGATATCTCAGGAGCTTTGACTTTCCTTTGAAGCATACAGTGAGTATAATTTTTTCCTGACCAGCAAGCTAAAATTAGCATATGCATAACTAACATTTGAACAACAAAAGCTAATTCTACATACCCAAAATTATTGCTATCTTGGTTTCTCAATATTTGCTCCTTAATTACAGCTATTTTTGTTCCTTGTTCTTTATTATGCTTCAGCAAGCCTTCGGCGACCCTCAGACATGAAGTATCTCCAATACGCGTAAGAAACTTTCGCCTTAATTACATAAAGATAAGTCTAATTCAAGATCCATTAAGTTAATGTGAAACATACACGATACGCAGGTATACCACCACTGACACCTGCAAATGTAGGCCAGGTGAAGGCGTTTTCGGTACCAGTATAGCTAAAAAGAGATAATTTTATGTAAAACAAAACCATAACTCAAACCATAAGGATGCTCACCAACCATAAGTATACTCACCCTGTTATAGTGTTAGATAGATAAGAAAGCAGTCGATCAAGCTTCCATTTTGCTTTGTTATCTAATCCTGTTATGCGAACCCATTCGACAAGAACACGTTTATTGATGTGTTCTTGAAAAATTTCTCGCCTTTTCGAATCGAACACCTAAAAATTAGCATTACTAAACTATTACAAAACAAACATCATCAGCGAAGGGGAAGCACTTATTACCTTACTGAGTACTCAACTACTAATCAATCTAAATTAATTATCTTTTAAACACTTCAATCAATCAAAGCATTGCATTTCACTGTACAAAAACACTGAACAAATGTCTCTTTATAATAATTTCATCTTCATTCTCTTCATCAATTTAACAAACTCAACTGAAACATCTCTTTAAACATGGGGACCACACCCCTTTAACAATAGGGACTCTTTCGATAGGGTTAGACAAGTGGATACTTAGCTTGGGGGTAGGTACCACGCCCTCGAAAGGGTCAACAAATTTTAAATTGACTCAATTTTTCACCAATCTAAGATACAATCAGGCTCGCGAGTGCCTAGGGCAATCCCCTTTAAACTTCCCCCTAGTATGTGGGTTGGGCCCCCCACATACTTCCATTAAGGTCCACTACTTCTTCTGTATTAAGCAGTAATATTTATTACCTCACTAAAACATTCTATAAAAGTAAGGTAAACAACGAATATAAACTAGATAACTTCGGTAATAATAACGAAACAAAATATTGTAATGCAAATTGTAAAAAAATGTTATGTTATAGACAAAAAAGATTACGTAATATCCAATACTACAAAGCTGAAAATTAACACTTATAAAGACAATAATGCAAACTGCTGCAGTAAAAATGTAGTTTACTGTCTCACTTGCTTAGAATGCGGATACCAATACGTGGGCATAACAACTAGAAAACTAAAAGATAGGATAAGAGAACACATATACCAAATAAACAAAAACAACTCAAATAAATATGTTTACAGACATTTTAATGAAAAATGTAACAAAAAAATGATTTCGTTCACCATATTAGATAATTCGGAAGAAAACGAAGACAGAACTATTTTACAAAACAAAGAAACATTCTGGATCAAACTTCTAGTCACCGCATTCCCATTTGGTAATAATGACAATGTTGCATCCTATGGAAATATATCAAATGTCATCAATCCACTCACCTATAAACCAGAACACCCATACTTCAACCTTAGAATTCTCAGGAAAAGAGAGAGAAAAGGCAACAGAAACAAAATTAGAAATAAAAAAGACACAAACACAGAAATAAATAGATTTGTGGAAATACTACACAATACTTCAAGCCTAGAAGAAATCAAAAAAGAATTATACAATTTACGAAAAAATATTATAACAAAAATAATACAGTCATGCTATACAAACAGTTTCTTAGAAAATGTTCCAAAAGAAAAGAAGTTTATCCTGTTATGCCTACTATGTAAATTTCACTTCAACACACAAAAACCATATAAAAATAGTGGCAAAAAAGAACACAGAAATTTCTGCAACTTACCCACACGATATATACACCACATTTTAGATTACATAAACATAAATAAAATAGTAAATTCACAAAGTATTACACAAATAATTCAAAACAACTCGAGAATCAAGTATATACCTTTCAGAATAGTATACAGTTACGACAAACCTATTTCACAGCTAATTTTTAATTACAACACAACTCTTAAAAACATAAGTAACAATGAAATAATAGAAATATTGAATACAAGATGTATTTGCGAAAACAATAGATATCAAAAATATGTAGATAACTTCCATGGACACATAATAACAGGAAACACCGAAGTCATTGAAAACACTCACATTAGAACTTTACTAGATAAAGGATGTAAATACAGAAACCCAATAAAAATAACAAAAAGAGAAATGATAACTTGGATTGATGAAACCGTTAATGGTTACATAAGCATTATAAAAAAAAATACAAACTGGGAGATCATTTACTAATGTTAATGCATAACCAAATAAGAACCAGAATTTTCAAAACATTAAAACCTAAATTATATCCACAATGGATGAACTATGATGTAAACACATCTCAAGAAGTTATCACAAAAGAAATAAGAAAGTTACAAAAATTCTTCATATTCACTCCCTTAGATAAAGCCAGTAACAATTACGGGATTATATGTAGAAAACTATATGTAGAAACTATCATGAAAGAAATGGGAGTAAAGTGTAAAAGTAATGTACAACTAGAAATAGAGAATACCAACAATACGTATACCTACATCACTTCAACAAACCAAGAAAGAATTATTGAAAAACATAAAAAGTTCAACAGTAATAACAACATTAATAATGAGAACATTATGAATATACCTATAATTTATGCAATACCTAAGTTACATAAAACACCTATCAAGTTCCGATTTATAACAGGAGCAAGAACAAGTAGCTTAAAACCACTATCACTAGAACTCACAAGGATACTAACATTTATAAAAACACATTTTCTTAATTATAACAACACCATAAAAGCTAAAAATACACGATTTATAGGATATTGGGCAATTAATGACATCAATATCAGCGAACAACTCCAGAATATAAACATGGAAAACATGAAACTCTTTTCGGCAGACTTTACTAACATGTTCACTACTTTACCACATTCTAGCATAATACAAAATGTCAAAGAAATCATCAAACTATGCTATAAGAATAGCAATAAAAAATATATAGCAAACAACAAATACAAAACCTTCTACACAAACAATACATCCAATAAAAACTATAACTATTATACAATAACAGATTTAATATATATCATAAACTACTTACTAACAAACAGCTATTGCAAATTCTCAGATAACCTCTTTATACAAAAAACAGGAGTACCTCAAGGTAGTAACGTTAGTCCTATTTTAGCAGATTTAACACTGTCATATTTAGAGTACATTTATTCCATCAATCACTCTCACAAAAACCAACTACAAATAAAGCCTTTTAGATATATGGACGACATCCTAATTATCCATAACAGCAATACACAAACCATTCAAAATGAATTGGAAAAAACATACAATAACATACTAAAACTAGAAATCACGAATGACAACGAATATAAGTGTAATTATTTAGATTTAGAATTCAGATCACAGCAAACAAAATTCATGCAAAAATGTTCAATAAAACAGACAATTTCAACTTCAATATAAGAAGATTCCCACATGCGAAAACAAACATTTCGAATCACATCAAATGTAACACAATATATTCAGAAATACTAAGAATAGCTCGGACATGCACAGACAGAAAAAACTTCGAAGACAGACTTAATTACACTATAAAACAACTAAGAAGAGTCCGGATACAACATGGAAGTTTTTATTATATGTCTTATAACATGCTCAAATAATAGTCTAATTAAGACTATTAAAAAACTAAGTTCGAACCAGAAGTAGAAAGTTTAGTATCCAAAGTACTCAAAATTACTCAAAAACCTATGAACTGAGCGTACTTAGTAATAACATTGTACTACAAACTATAATAAAAACCTAAATAACTAAGAAAAAACCTAACAGAAAAGAAAACATGAGAAGAAACACTAATACAACACACATAAAACTATCAAAGAAAAGAAAAAAGTTGTCCATACTATGAAATTATTCTGATAAAAAACATGAAAATAATTCTGNTAAAACAAAGGAACAAAAACAACACAGTGTCACACTTACCAATCCTAGACAGTATACTTACGTACTAAAAAATAAAAAAGTGTAAAACACTCACCTCTTTGCTCATGTTGACCGACAAAAATGAGCAAACTGAGTGAAATGAAGTCAAAGACTCGAAAACAACAACAACAAATGTTATCAAGCGCTCACATTCATTTACTCAATAGTCTCAATAAACCGCGGTCAACACGAGGTAAGTTCATCTATTAAGAACATAACTAAACTTACAAAGTTATTTAAATTATTAGATATTGATATGATTCAAAATAAGAAGAATATACATGATAAAAATATAAAATGGAACAAAAAGATAAGTGAGTTACTTTTTTATATTCAATGATATCTTTCATATAGATGGATAGTTGCTCACTTTGTTTAGTACACTGTCAGAAAGTACAATATTTGAAAAAGAGTTGAATATTTAAAGTGTTCAAGAATATTTAATACACTTAAAAAGCCAAGAAACATACAAGAAATATGTATTGTGTTAAAAATATTAACAATCGAATATGGAGATCCCTCCTTCCTTACTGATGAGCACGGAGGAGGAATACAGAAATTTGTTCAATTCCCGTCTAAGGGCACGTGCGAAACGGGAATTGAGCTATCTCTTTGACCTTACCCCCACACAAAATTTATAGAGCATTCAATATAGTTCAAACATAATAATCATTTCAAAACTCTACAAACAACTCAAAAAATAAATAGATTTAGAAAGATGATAATAGATAACAATACAAAATTAAAATTTTAAGAAAATAAAAATTACAACAAATATAAAAACATATAAAAACATATTAAATAATCACTATTTTTTCTTACAAGAATGGTATCAGCTTCACGTATTACTTATTATCGTTATACGGATTCACAGGTCCCACGTCGAAGTCAACTAGTAAGTTGCCTGCCCCTCCAGGCGAATAACGCTGATTTTAAATATCTATACCTGGTCCTTCAGATACTTGGACATGAGACCAGTGGCACTGTGGTAGGCGTTGGCAAAAAGGTGAAAGGTTTCGCGGTTGGCGATCGTGTTGCTATAGAGCCAGGTGTGCCGTGCCGATATTGCTTCTATTGCAAGGTGATCGTTTTGGTTCGAAGGCTTTGGTTTGTTTTGGTCTAGGTCACCAGTGCCGTTTGGGATTTCAAAATCAGCACACTTCCCAGGGTGCATAGGACGACCTTGGCCTCTGCGGGGACAAAAATTTGGCTGCTTTTGTCGCAAGACAGATTGATCATATTGAAGTATGCCAAGCCATCCCTCCATATAGAAATGCATTGGGCAGCCACGCTAATCGACTTTCGAGTTGCATGATCCAGCAAACGATAGGGCGTGTGAATGGGCGTGAGTTGGATGGAAGCCAGATAAGCCCTTTCAGTTGTTGCTCACTCAGCATGGCGTCGTTGATATAGAGCCCACCTGGAAAGCCCGTTAATGCTGGAAGATGATATATTTCAGACAGGCAGATATAATCTATGTCCTGATGCGAAGTTCTTTGCCACGCCTCCTACTGACGGATCCTTGACCCGATACTTGGCGTACGATGCGGACTTTTGCTACAAGTAAGACTTATTCTATGTATTTCCTATTTGCACCGCATGCTGAGCTAAACTACACTGAAAATCCCTGAAATGCGGTAGGCGGGGCTGCGTCTTTCAATTGAACGTGATGGTGGCTGTGCTTCTGGTGAAATGTTTTCATTTTGAGA